AGCATCTGTGTGCATCCTCACATATTTCTACATGTCAGTCTGTGTTTGTGTGTGTGTGTGTGTGTGTGTGTGTGTGTGTGTGTGTGTGTGTGTGTGTGCATGCATGCGGTGACAGCGTGCGCTCAAACTGTGATTTTCTCTGTGCGTGTGTAAAAGCATATGGTGAGTCAGTGTGTAGGAGTTGGAGCGCCAGTGTGTCTGTGGGAGGAGGGAGAGTGGATAGGTGGTGCATGGAGAGGAGAGAGGATTCAGGTTGTGCACCAATAGGTGGCACTCTACCCTTTTGTGATTGGCTATGGTGACCCACACTAAGACAGGTCTGGAGGCACATGCTTTTTGCATCCCAACAGAACAGGAAGTTGGTTGATAAAACTTCCTTTTTTTTTCTTTTTTTTTCCAGCTCTGTGGTTATTTCTGCCTTCTGGCTGCTCTCAGTGTAGACGAATGAAAGGGGGAGTGAGAGGATAGTGTGACGGAGGTTACACCACTCTGGGTGGATGAATGGAGAGTTAACACTGCTGGGGTTAGAGACTCTCTTTCCTTCAAGGCTAAACGAACGCCTTTCATGGCAAAAACCTTTGATTGACCCAGGGCACGCATTGCCTACATATATGTTCATGTTCATATATAGAGTAAAAAATAATTGTATGTGCAAAGTGTCACCAAATGTCAACCAACAGTCTGTGTCATGAGCTGTAGTTTACTGTAATGGAGCCCATTCACACAGTAAAACATGAGAGACTGAATTATATAAATGTGTGAGTCACGGGGGAACACACAGCATCTCGTATCACATCATTACGAGGATCTTTGGAAGTAAAGGAGCCACATTTACAGTGGGAAAGAGAATGATCATTCTGTGTGGTTAAAAGTAACAAATCAAACTGGTTTTGTAGTCTGGCTTTATGTAGACAGACTGCAATAATTATTTTCTTTTTATCCATATATGTCATAAAACAGAAATAGTGGCAATTATAACAAAATGAAAGCCCTGGTAATAAGGCCTTCAGAGATTTTGCATTATCACAATCTTGCTTATCACAGATCGTATTTTCAAAATCCCACATAGAGTAGAGCCTCAAATGTTACTTTAAGAGACAGTATCTCTCACTGCACAGTGGTGGTTTTATACAAAGAGACCTGGAAGAGAGAAATATATACATATATATGTATATATATATATATATGTATATATATATACAGAATCTGGCTTTATTGAACATTGTAATATACAGTCCTGTGGGAAAAGTAGCAGGATTGAGTAGGAGTCAATTTATTAACAGGGGACAAAATACCTGAATATGCAAATATTGTTTTCTCTTGCAATAAAAACAGGCCATCCTTGTGACAGTAAAAACTAATGGAGAGCAATGTGTACAAGGAGCAAATGTGGAGGAGTCAAACTAAGTTGCTAAAATACAAAAAAAAAAAAAAAAAAAGGTGTGGTTTGTCATTCAGACCAGTACAAATGGTTAACGCAATGCAGCTGATCATCGAGCAGGGTCGTACAGTTGGAATACAAATAGCAACCCACAGAAATACTTAATCATATTCACAAAATATACACATAAAATAACAATGTGAAGCATTCATTGTCTTCTGAATTGTGTCCACAAAAGACAGGCAAAAGATAATGTCCAANAAAAAAAAATGCCAAAAAAAAAAAAAAAAAAAAAAAAAAAAGGATTAACACTGGCTAAATGAAAGAATCAATAAAGCCCATGCCTGTGGAATGAAATGAAATGACTAAAGGGCAGTTTATGGCCGCAGTCACCATAGCAATAGAATTCTATATTCTATGGAGTTCACAACCTTCTACATTCGACAACCCTAACAAGCACATAAAGGGTCGGAGGGTCATGCAAGTGCGGTTCTCCCGGTGGTGCGATGGAGCCGAGCAGCTAGGCTGGGGTCAGAGGGCAGATCAATCGGGTCACTGATAAAAGCAAATGAGCTCAGTCATATAAAAAAAAAAAAAAAATGCACACACACATACTCATTCACACACGCACTTACATACACAGCCCCTCACCGCAGCTTATTCCTGTTTGTTTGACGATTCAACTGAAGTTTATCCTGCAGAAACACACTCAGTCACTGCTGGAGGTGGGAGGTCGTCAGTTTTCCAAGGCTCCACTGGGGTTGAGCCAGCAGTTCTGTAGCAGTCTGAGTTCACTGGCAGTCAGGCCCCCCCCCCCCCACAATAGAGGCCGACACGCAGGGCAATAAGGGCTGAGATGCCCTGTCTCTTCAGCCTCTGCCTCAAAGACAGAGGAGACGAGGGTGATGGATGAAGTAGAGAAAGAGGGAGGATACAGAGACAGTTCATACAGTCTGACACCACTGTTCTTTTAGTCCTCTGGTGTACACATGAAAAAAAACAAAAAACATGCAACAACAGGCCTTAAAATGAATAAATCCTTTGCAGTCCATAATTGACAACAATAGGCCACAGTTACACATTATTTCAGCTGAGCAAAGTACACAGTCGTGTGTCCAAACCTAGCATGTTATGATTTTCCCCTAAGTGACCTAACCCTGACCTTAGTTACACCATAGCTGCCATGCACCGATATTGTAGAAAGCGATAATTTAAAATCCTTGGCACCGGATTTGATCCGAGTTTTTACAGAATTGTCCAATACTGAGGTTCTTGTCTAGCGTTACGAGTTTCTTGTGTGCAACCAGTTCATGAAAGCTTTCGCAGCTTCATACGGTTTTAAGAAATGGGTCCCAACCCTGTGGGGTGCAACCAGAGTCTATATTGCATTTTATTAATTTTATTGCATATTTTTACTCTTAAAAAAAAACAAAAAAAACCTAATGTTTAAGATGAAAATTTTTTATCATGCATTATTGATTTACTATATCAATATTATTGAACTGAGCTCTGCCATGCTGGTCTGTTCACAAATCAGAGTGCTCATAAGAAGTACACATAATTACAACAAATTAAGAGCTTCCTTCCCAGGTGGAATTAAAAAGAAATTATAACACATTATTAATATTAAATAGGAAACCAGGTTACTTCTTGTTAAGTACATTCTATGTTTGGGGCCCTCAGTATGTGCAAGACTGAATAAGAACATAGCACTTTACACCAGTTTTACAGTTTTTTTTTTTTTTTACAGTTTGTGTGACAATTTTCATCAAAATCAAATATCAACTCAACAACCAGAGGGAGTGTACAGTTTTCAAGACGACTATAATCTCTTGGCACATTGTGCAGGCTTTTCATTTCAAAAGGTGCCTGTGTTAATAAGAGACACCTTTAATAAAAGCATCCTCATGGATGATGGATGCCATGAGGAGGCAAACACACATCAGCTTATATTTAGACACCACATGGCTTTAACATGTCACCCTCTCTACTTAATTGGAAACAGTGCATAATCGTATGCAAATCCGCCCAAGTGGATTATTAATGAATATGTTTTGGCATTTCGTATAATTGATGATGATAGGTTTAGGTTTCTATTTTTTGCTGCTTTTTTTTTTTTTTTTTTTATGAAAACCAGAAGCCAGAGCTGTCATCTCAAGAAATAATTTGCCACCAGTGTAGAAATTCATTAACTTCAATTAGAACGACTACGATAAATAGAAACAATAAAAAAGAGAATGATAGCAATGTTAGCATATAAAGGCCTAAATCTTCTCTGGGGAGAGATAGGTTGATGCCAGGATGCCTGAAGACCTTACTGTATGAGGTGATAGCTAGTTAGCTAGTATGTGTACAGTAGTGGGATGACTGTATTCTTTCTTTCTTTCCTGCACTAAATATATTTTGTTTGCAGCTTTAGTTGAAAAGTGTTTTCTAGTGATTTATAATTTGTTACACACGTGAGCGAATTTTCCTTTGCTTCATTAAGTCTATTCTCTTTCAATTAGTCTGTACTCCCTTATTCAGGGAATGTCTGTACACAGGTCATTCACAGGTCATTTACTATTAGACAGTAGTTCACTATCTGTTTCTAGAATAGCTGTGAATGTACTGATAAGGTGTAGAAATAACAAACAGCCATTGTCTCTGTCTCATGGTGAGTTAGTCTTTCTTAGTGGGACAGAGGTAACTGGGATCTACAACGTGAGTTAGGTTAAGATTTACCCAATAGTCTTCACACGTGTATGATCTTGTGCCATGTGAGGATCCTGGTTTTATCCTGAACATACTTCCACCAGCTCACAAGATTTTCATCACAACATGCTCAATTGAAAAATTTCTATTGGTTCTAACTAAAAGGAGAAAAAAAAAAATCTAATTTGAGGAAGTACCTTTTATTTGTCGAGTATATGATTCAAACTCTAATAAGAAATAGGACTAAACTATTTACTCATTGAATCAAAGAAAATGTAGCACATAATGATATATATTATTATCTAGATATGAAATAACTTTATCTGGAAAAGAGATTTTGGTCATATCACACGGCTTCCTGGAGGCAGGTGCGGTGGATTTCTGTGATTTTTCTTAAAAATGTCACAAGATGGATGAAAGCTTTGAGCTGCAACAAGTTATTTGATACTAGTCATTGAATCACGCACTGATGTTTCAGAGTTCACTTTGTCTATAGGAAATCTAGGACATAGAATCCTGTCATTGTGTAAATCATAGAAAACGTGTGCATATGTTAGTGTCTGTATTTTTTATTTATTTATTTTTTGACATTTGCATGTGCACGTTTCCCCATCACGTGACACGCATGTGACATTGAATAATCAACCAGGCCAATGTATCTGTGGAACACACACCATAAAAAAAAAAAAACCCTTTGAAGATTTTGCTTCACATCCTCTGTACTCCATCAGTGGAGGGAAATTAAGCCAATGAACCAAAAAATAGAGTGTTGTGGGGAGAGAGATGAAGAGTGGAAAGGAAAGGAACTAGGAGTGAGAGAGTTCCTGCAAGTCAGTCACACTGGATCCAGTCAGGGCAACGGGTACAGCCATTCCCGCAAGTGACATAAATAAATATCGNGGGGGGGGGGGGGGGGGGGGGGGGGGAATGTGTCATTTCAAACACACGTGAAAATTTCGCTCTTGTGTGTGAAAAGGCACGCAGAAATACATACATGAAACAAAGTAATGGCTCTGCCTCTGGTTCTGCAGCCTAGCTAGCTTAGCTGTTCACATATTTCCCCATCCACTCGGGCATGGGGACACAGGACGGACACTGAAAAAAGTGTCATAACATGTCACTTTTTTTTTTTTAAATATTGGGGAAGAGAAATAAAGAAATGAGAGAGAGAGAGAGAGAGAGAGAGAGAGAGAGAGAGAGAGAGAGAGAGAGAGACAGAGAGAGATGTAGTACCTGCTTGAAATGTTTCCAGAGACTTGGTACCCACAGGCTGTGAGCTCCCGGGTCAAGTTGGCAATAGGAGCTGGTACATCTGCTCTCAAAAAACTCACTTTCCAAGGGAGTACTTAAAAAGAAATACAATGCACTGAGGCGGCATAAAAGAGTGCTTGGCAAGCGTCTGTCATCTATTAATTGTGTATGTATATGTGTGTGTGTGTGTGTGTGTGTCTGTCTGTGTCTGTGCAAGTGTATGCATGTGTATGTGTGCGTGTGTGTGATTCCCAGGACGACACACTCTTGGTTTAGATGGCATCCCTGTAAGACAGAAGGGAGAGAAAGGAAGGTGGAATTAGTCAAAAATGGCAACTGCGTACATCATGTGTGTTCAGGAGAGAGACAGGGAGAGAAAGAGGGGCACTATGCTACACTGCCTGGAGCAAATAAAGGTTTTCTCTTGGAATTATGGATCATATTTTATCATATTCAAACATACACATATCTGCATACAGACGCCCCCGCATACCCCTACTCCATTTCACATCTGTCCGCATCATGCATGCGCACCAGCACAAATGAACGTCGGTAATGATGTAACGGTAAAACCTCCTGCTCGGTGTTGCCGTGAAGGTTGGCATCCATTCCAGGCTGAATTTAAAATCAGAACGTATCCGTTCCCTTGCTGCCAGTGTTGTTCACAAAGACCTTGTGAAAGTTGTCTGGGAACCTCTGCCAGGTAGTTCACACCTCCACCTCCTCCGCCTGATGTGTTAAAGCAGGAGACACTTTTGACAGCACTGAGAGCCATTTTCAGCCAGAGAACTTACATGGCTCCTGGCCAAAAAAAAAAAAAAAAGGGAAAAAAAGCCAGCTCTCTCTCTCTTTTCTGTTTTCGGTTGGTGGGTAGGTGAGTGGGCATTAGGGGACAGAGTGGGCCAGTGTGTGTCCATGTGCTTTAAAGGGCAATTCAATAGATTCCCTAAATCAAAACAACATCTACAACGCATGCAAAAATGTGGACTGATTGGACTGTGTGATTGCGTGGACGTTTCAGCTGAGGAATATGCACCCCGGTCATATTCTAAAGATTGTATATTGATTTATGCAGTCATAAGTGTCAAAACATTGTAATACCATAGCACGGAACTGTATAGATTACATTGGTACAAATTCAATTGTTGGATTTAAATGAGCCATTTAAAACAGCTTTGATACAAATGTGTACTGTATATCTTGTGTCTATGTGCAAAGAGAAGATATTACTAATTCATAACACTTCATAGACAGTTCATTCTAAACTGATTCCAGACTCACAAACAAAATTTCCCAGTAGGCCGAAAAACAATAGCTCATATGAAATCAATGTAGCTGATGTAGCTGAACCAAAGCTATTTCAGTTTGATGCTGTTACATATAAGGAATAATACAATGCAAATATATGAAAATCATATAGATATTAATACATAGATATAATAAAATACACTACAGTATATGGAGGAGAATGCCATGACACAAAGTGCTTATATATGACTACTGACCAGATCTCATACAAGATCTCATTCTGTAGCTGTGCTGTAAGAGAAAGCCGATGAGACAATATGAAGAACTGTTGATGTCATTACCTGCATTTTTATTTATCTTGTGAACTGATGTTAAAAAATGTGAAGCAGAACATTAGAACAAATTTTAAAGAACTCTTTCCAGTCAACCAGAAACATGTCATTTCTGTGGCTTTCTGTGCTGCCAGTCTTTACTGTTGACAGGCTCTAATACTTTTATTTGAGACACTTGCAAGTGATAGGTCATAATTGTCTCCAGTGAGTGCCTTGCTCTAGAGCACACTGACAGGACATGCACTCAATGACAGACTCATTTTGGCTCTTGCAGAGGCTGAACTCGTGACCTGTCGGCGACGGGACCATTTCTCTTTAGAAGAGGCTGCCCTGCTACATTAACTGTATTTGCCCAAGTAACCAGATGGCCAACATGCATCCGTACAGTGGGTAAAGAAGACTAATAGACAGTGCATTCCTGCAGAGAAAAGATTCCTCTTTGCCCCGATATGGCCGGATGATTAATGCTGAGTAGATGAGGTAGAGGAACAGTTCTCTGCTTAGTCTGTTGGGCTGTCCTGTCTCATGAAAGTGGAGGCAGAGCACAGGCAGTTCACCATGGGAGAGAGAGAGAGAGAGAGAGAGAGAGAGAGAGATGTGGGGGAGGGGGAGTGTGGAGACAGGAAAGGGGGTAGCAGAGAGAGTGTTTCTGAGAGAGTGACACTGAGATAAAGTGAGAAATAGAGAAAGCAATCGAGTGTGAGGGATAGTGAGGGAGAGAGAAACAGCATGTATATGTGAGGAGAGAGTCAGGGACAGAGATCTTTTCTTGTGTGAAAACGATTTGTCTTGCACGGCATCTGTAAATGTCCACATGTGCGCGCTTGAGTGTGCACACACATGTAATGTGTACATGCAAACGCAGGTAGATGTGTGAGAAACGCATTCATGTGGGCACACACAAACTAGGTGACAAAGGCGGATGTAGCAATTCCCACGAGGCCGCGGAGAGAAATATGATAGATAGGGCATCGCTGTTTATATCGGTCTTCTTCGCTTCCTGACTGAGTGGCCTGTAATTGAATGATCATTACACCAAAGTTATAGCAACGGCCCCACAGTTGAGAATAGGAATTGGAGTTGGAAACAGCATTTAGTGGTTTTGATTTATGAGCAACAATGGGGAAGTTGTTTTTCAAGCGTGGCACTCTGATGGGCAATAAAGAGGAGCAAGGCTTATCGCCTGCTGCACCTACTCTGACACACATACACCAGTCAGCCTGCCAGCCAGCCAGCCGGCAACCAGTCAGCCAACCAGCTGGGGCCCTTCATGGAAGGAAGTGTTTTCAGCAAATTTGTTTCCTTCATGCCTCGCCCTGAATGGCGCTATTCATTAAAATAGCCTCCAGTCGGTAGGCACTGCTGCCATGGCACATTTATACACTTGTACGCCTGTATCCTCACAGAAGTAGACACACACACACACACACACATATACACAAATCCACCTGCACGCACCCTCACACACACACACAAACAGACACTCTTTTCTTCTGGTCCAGCTCATCTTTGCAGGAGGGCCTCCTGTAATAAAAAAAGCAAAGCTACAAAGAGAGAAAAAGGGTCTGTCGCATATACCGCTATCTGTTTTCAGTTAGGGCCGCTGGAGCTGTACATTTATTTTCTGTGGAGTGAAAAGGACGGGGCGCTTTTATTTACTGGTTGTGATATTTGGATTAAGGTGGATCTAACTCAGAATGAAGGGGTCACTAGCGTGGGTGGTGTAAGTATAAAAATAGCAATAAAATGTAACGTGGAAGTGTGAGGCATTGTACAATGGATTATGTTTCAGTTATGGGTCTATATCACTGAGCAGAAATGCTTTCATTTTCACCAGAGCCACTTCCTTCAGTGCCTCTGTTCAGACAGTTCAGCTCAATTACACGTGCGTTCCTGTCGGCTTAACTCTTGTTTACATGTAGTCACTTACTGTATATGCGTCTCTGTTGGGCAGACCTTGTATCTAATTGCAATAGATCTTGGTTGTTTTCCCTTGATACTGGCAAATACGGGCAAGCCCTATGCCAGTCTCATGCCACTCCCTCATCCATACAGATCATTCATTTGTTGCACTGATGCTGGATCAGATTAACGATACAACAGCGTGATAACAATACAAAAGCATGTTACAACTTCTGATCACTGACCGGTAATCTGGTGATCTGGTTTGTAAAAGTTGGCATTTTATTTGTGGTGAACCTGGCATCCTCAAGTTTATTAACGAGCGACATCTTTTTAACAAAGACGAGTAAAAATCCAACTTATTATATAAATATTAATATTGATATATAACCCCATTATGCCAAAAAGCACAGACGCAGCTGTTGGATTGTTAGGCTGGTTGGTTCATAGCCATTTTGTGAGTTAAAATGAACTCAGCTGTAAATTCTACCACACCATCTGCGACGCCCATATTTGGTGACAGCTTTCATCCATGATAGACATCTTGACTTTTACAGCGAAGGTAAATGTGACCACGATCAATCACAGTGACAACCTGTGGTTGTACTTGTTCTTTGCTCTGGCCGAGACCAACACCTCTGGGATTTTCAGTTATCTGCTCTGGGGCACTGTGTTTGGTATCACCTCCTCTTTCCTTTCATCACTCCCCCAACTCACTGCACTTGCTCAGTCATACATCCCTGTGTTTTGCACACATATGTGCACATTAACACACACAGAAACACACATGCATGCTATATGACATGTTTTTCTTCTCCTTATTTTTAATTCCCATTGATTCCCAGAACCTTAAGGCCACGACTGCTGCTTTCCTACGTGTCATTTGTCAGGATCTGCTTCTCACTTACAGTCCCTATCAATTAATAGAAACCGTTAAGAGAGTGTCACTAAGAGGGTTAGTCACACAGAGCTATCCCGACGCCTGCCAACACTGTCATGTCATCTGACTTGTCTCAGCTCGGGCCTCAGGGCGTTTCCCTTTTTAGAGAAAGAACAAGGCAGAGAATGAAGGAGGCTGAACCCACACTGTTTGAAAAGCCTCAGGAGTGGTGATGCACATCGATTGCGTGCACGTAAATGCACAACCAGGCACACGCATGTGTTGAGTGCATATGGTCGTGACAAATCAAGCACAAAAAAACTTACTTACACACACTTCATGTCAAAGTGTCAAACCCTAAAGGATCTGTAGAGGGAACATATGAGACATATATCTCTTGAAGTCATCACAACACTACAGCGTGATTTCATCTGTTGACAGACATATTGCCTTGGCAATAACAATGCCATGAAGACTGCTATCAATAGAAGCTGTGAGTCATGTGTATGTCTCAGTTGATCAAATGCATTTGAAAAACACCACTTGTGAAAACGACATTAACGCCCCTCTTAGCCTTCACAGTTCACCTTGACAACCACAGGAGCTGTCTTGTTCGTTTGCTGATTCATGTGACATTCTTTATATAAAAGGTGTTTTGATTAATATCATACACCAGATCACAGATGTTATGTAGTGAAATAGTTCAGTAGAATGCTCTGGTTAGTAATGCAGAAAGCAGGGTTAGGATTTGTTACTATTTTATTAATCCACTATCTAAGAATTGTATAAGTACTTAAGTGAACCTCAAAATAATATTAATACAATTGAGGAAAATCCAGGAACACTACAGTTTTGAGTGATAGCCTAATTAGCATAAAATATGATATATAAATTAAATACGCATTGAAACAGTGTGTGTAGCTTCTTTATGTTTGCACACGTTTTTCATAAATACCTGCTTCAAATACCGGAGGTGCTGAATTAGAATGTTATCAGCATGGTGACCTTTGCCATGACGAACAATGAGAGTAATATTTGCTAGCTGAAAACCAAAATGCTTGCTCATTTTGTTCATGTGTCTTTGCTTTTCCGTGTTAGCAGCATGGCTTTAAGGGGAGTAGCTGTCAATCAGTTGGTCATACAGTGACCATCCTTTCAAACCCGCAAACCGGACCGCACCGTAGGTATTTTCATCAGTGTAGGGGGTAAATTATTTCAGTGCTTAGCACACCTCCTGAGTGCACCTTTCAACAACATGGATGCAGCATTTTCATTGCCGTGAGAAAGAGCTGCTCCAATCAATCCCAGACTAACCGGGGAAACCCAGAAAGAGTTTGGAGGTCTCCGTAGTCGATCAACCACTTTAGTCCAGACTGAAGTGTCTGAATATAAATATAGGATGTATTGCCACTAATTTGGTTTATGCCCAAATACCTGCAAAAATATCAGTGTCAGCAATTCAGTGTTTAGTGCAGATTAACAAATATTATCTTGCTACAATTCTAAAATGGGAACCCCTGTTACCTGCTAACATTTTTATTGAGAGCAGTTAGCATTCAGCTCAAAGCACCACTGTGCCTCGGGACAGTCTTACAGATAGCTCGCATGACTATTGTAATCTATGTCTGGCAATCAACCCCCAGATAACAAAAAAACACATATTTTTATAATGTGCTACTCAGATACACACTCGAATTTAGCCTGCATTTTCTTGCCATCATTTAGGACATAGTTCACTGTGTATGGGAAGCACAGACACCTACAGGCTATGAGTATTGCAGCCCGTTGGCACTTTTTGAGTGCCAGACACATTGCAAAACATTGAATGACAAATACAGAGCCTGCCAGTGTTGCCTGGTGGTCTTGTTTTGCAATTATAACTCAACTACTGTATAAAGCCCGGGATCTCTCCTCGGTTCTGCTGACGCATTTATAAAAACCGTATGGTAAATAATTATAGCTGAAAGTGTAAGAGCTTTGTGAGGCTGCTGAATAATATATGGTCTCTCAGGCTGGCAAACACACATGTAAAAAAAAAAAAACATATAATGGTGATATATATATATTGTACATTCCCATAATACCCCCCATGACACACAAAGACATATAAATACATACTTACATAAACACACAAAAGAAGAGCTGATAAACAAAACCAAGTACAACTGTACTGTACAACCTGTGAGATGTATGTTTTACCTACCTTATTGGCTCTGAACCATGCGGTGTATGACTTTAAATATGGATTATTATGTGATTTATTATAGATTCAATGTGCAGTCTAACATACAGTGTGTGATGTGGCTTTTTTTGCCCCAAAGTACGAGTGAAGAAACCGCAATACCATATGTACACCGATAAGCTACATCATCCCTACCCCTCCTTGGACAATTCACACCAACTGCAGCATTCATATTTTGGTGACAGCTTTCATCCATGCTAGACATCTTTACTTACAGTGAGGTAGATGTACATGTAAACAATCCAATAAAATCCATTTAGATTTATTTTAAAACCATACCAGAGTTACTGCTGTTAAAAATGAGACTCAGGAGTTTGAAGAGTTGAGAAATGTGGCCAAAGTTTCATTCCAAAGAATGGTCAGCAGCAACCCATTTGCTAGATGTCTAAACTGTCCTAAACTAGTTCATATTACATATTATAATATAACCAGCCTACACACAAGTGCAGGACGTGTACATATGTTTTGCAGTTGCCTAGCTGCAGATGTGCAAGATTTAACCAAAACCAGTTATATTCAGTGAGGAGGTAGTTGCACAAAAATAGTCCCACCGTCACTCTCTGAGTTATGCAATAAACACCGCCCCGTACCCCACGTACAACAACAAAACAAATGCTTGGAATTATTTGTAACAACCGTGCCATCTGTTCACCTGGACATCTCCATGGTGTCCTTGGTGAGATAGACGATCCAGTAGACCAGGTTGAAGGCGCCAAACGAGAGAGGGAAGAGAATGCGGGAGTATTTGTCGATGATGCTGGTGCCAGTCAGAACGTTGTTGGCCGGCACAGCTGAACCCTGCTGTAGGAAGGCTTGGGCATTGACAGGTGGGTTGGGAAATGTTTTGGCAGGGCGGTCGAACAGGGGAGCAGAGTTCATCCTCTTCTTCAGCACGTTACTGGCATCCACCTTGGAGAGGCAAAGAGGAAAATTACAGAAACTGTGAGAGGAAATTCACATTAAAGAGAATATTGCATGATGTAATATGAGGGTATTAATAATGAAACCGGTGCTGTGCTGTTGTACCCTGATGTTAGTCCCATATTTGCACAGCTGCGGGTTGATCAGTGCATGCGGGGAGTGTGCGTATGTGTGTGTGTCTGCAGAAAACTACGTCTAGAATACCAATAAGCACCACAGTAATTAAGATCAACAAAGGAAATCAATGGTGTTTTGCATTTGATTTGATCTGATTTCAATCAACCCATTTCATGAAGATTGATGAAGTTGTGAGAGGCAAACAACACATATTAAACAAAAGAGGCTCACACCATTTCGACACATGGTTATCGCTATGCCTCATCAACTTTCAGTAAACCAGTGTGATCTCGGCACATGCTCCCTGCTCCAGCACTTGTAAATCAGATACAGTGTGTGTGTGTGTGTGTGTGTGTAAGAGAGAAAGGGAGCGCACATCTGGGAAATGGGTCAAAGTACAGCATGTTGCCTGTAGGTAGAGTCAGAGAGTGTGAGAGAGGAGGACTGAAACAGAGTGAGATCCTTTTTTTAAACCAAAGAAATTGTTTAAAAATCTTCTATCGCCAGAAGGACCAGCAGAAATAGAACACATAGTCACTTCTTGATGGCTCCATTGATTTATAATATTGCAGTCAGGAGATGAGAATTATGAACAATTAAAGAGAAACATAATCAAATATTTAGTATGTTCTGTGAAACCTAATGCTTGCAGGACTGTATTCTTTATAGGGACATATATATAACAAGTTTTTAACCTGATTTCACATTGAACAACATGATATTTAGAACCAAATGAAAACAAAAACCTTGACTCAGAAATAAACTATACTTTTGCATAAAAAACATTCACTACAGTCCTGAGTTTTAATGTCAACTCACAAGTTTTAAGGAGATATATCTTACTGACCGTTCCAACTCCGCTGTACACAGTGGATGTTTTTTTTTTTTTTGTCCAAACCAGAATCTTGGAGCTAAAACTGATCTTGTGAGATTAAGGTTGGATTTGTAAAGCTACGGGATTACACGCTCCTCTACAGGTTGAGAAACCGTTAAACTGTTACAATCCTGAGGGGAACACTTCCAAAAATGCACGGTGGCCAATCTAGAACAAGACTAGATAAGTCCCCCGTGTTATTAATTTCACAAAACTTGAAAGATTTTGCAGTTTCATGCAACAGTGAATGCACAATTGCAGAATGTTCATTAAAAGATTGAATGTCTTATTAGTTTGACGGTGCCTTGACGCTCATCTCCAAAACAACCTCATTAGTTGGTCTATGGCAGCTATCCTGAGATGTACAACCATTCAACACTGTGGGTTCGATTATGTTGCACCATCCTTATTGTTCCAATTCTTTTTGAAGGTCTGACGTCAGAAGCAAAACCATGGAAACAGATAACAGAGGAAAAATAAATCCATATCGGACATTTTTGTGTATAGGAGTTTTTCCATATCTGAACTCAAGGTCTACGGATAAAGGGCATTCTGTTTGGTACACATTGAAAAACTCCCCGACACAGATTATCTTTCTTCTTTTACTGTTAAACCACAAAACTGTAATCCATGGTGTTCCTAAAACACAAGATCATCCTTCACCGTGGTGTGGAAGCGATAGTTGCCAAGTGCAGAGTGTGACAAAGAGAGAGAGAGAGAAGCAAAGAGAAAAAAAAAGCTGCACTGCGATCAAAGAATTTAAAAATCCTTCAATTCTCTTCAGGCTTCATTAGTGTGGTAGAGACATTTCTTTAAGGGATGACAATCTTCAGTAAAACAATCTTATATCCGCATTTCACTCTTGAGACGAGGGTAAAAATGTACTCGGGCGATATGAAAGGTCGAGTAAGGGGAAAAAAACAACAACAAAAAAAAACCCAAAGATAAGGATTTGTGAAACCCTTTAGTACCATGGGAATGGCTGCGAGAGGGAGTACGTCCAGGTGATTTAACAGCTGGTCATCCCGACAGTAAGTTCACTCATCACTGAAATACAATATGAGCTCTATCTGCCCTATCTGAGGCGCCGCGCTTCCTCCCGTATCTCTGCTCATCTGTGAGGTCGAGGGTTGGTTTGAGTAATGAGGATTTTTCGTCAAACAGGAATTTGGTCTTAGAAGTCTATTTGTTTTCTGTTGTAAATGGTGTCCAAAACTCCCTACTACACCCACTACACTGGTTCTTTTTGAGGTGAGGGCTCATGCTGCAGTTGCGCGTCGCATGCAGTCTGCTTGCGTATCATGTGTTCGCGGCGTCCTGTACGTATGTGCAGCTGATCCGACACACGAGCTATTTTTGATAATGACAACAGGCTTGCTTGGCTTCTTCCTGGTCAAATCCCAGAGGGATCAGCTCCTCTTCTCTTTATCCACTGCTCTAGATTTCAACAGGCCCACTCTGACACTCTGGGAGGATGGGCGCTGACGGCTGATGGATATATGGATGTTTGTCTGGGTGCGAATATTAATGTGTGAGGGGGGTGGGGGTTGCGGGTGTGTGTTTATGTGTGTGCGTGAAATAAGGTTATACTCACTGCGCACTAGCAATATGTCTGGCATGGGAGTAAGTGCACGCAGGTTCAGCTCTGTGGGTGTTGAGTGGGTGTACATACGCTTGTGGATGAATGTTAAGAGCTTGTACATCTGTATGTAAATGTGCTTTTTATGTTAGTGTATTTTAAGCACAGCAGTAAGTATTATCAACACGACTGCTATAATACTGTTTTCATTGTTATGGTTTAGGATGTGAGAAAATAAAAATGGATATAGGGGGTTAGAGGTAAACACACTAAACACAGAATCATCTTGTGTTGGTGTGCCATAGTCCACATTTATCACTTTCTTCAGGAATATAAAGAAGTGAAAGATGGAATAAAACTGACAAGTGAAAACACATACGACTTGATTAGCTGCTAATAAAATGTTTTACAACATCCCCTAAATATAACGCTGCATTCTCAACATCTAGATTGACAAAAAACTTGATGAATTGATGAAAATATAAGCCACTGTGATTTGAGGGAACTATAAGGAAACGTGATGAAGCTCTCAAAAATTCTGGTGACAACATAAATGAGAAGTGATCCTCGACGGAACCATAAAGGAAAATGTCTTGGAATGACAAAATGGTTACCTGGGGTGAAAGTAATGTTTAAGACTAAACACTGAAATGAAACATTGGTTTTTGCTATTCCGATCAGACAGAAGATATTTGTTTTAAAATGCAAACTGTTGCTGCTTAACGGGTGGAAATTAATGTTTTAACGTTTATTTATTTATTTATTTATTTATTTATAAGAGAGCAATAACAATACTTTCCTGCTGACTGCAGACGCCATTAAGCACAAAACCAAAGACGCCATATGTGATGTTAAATAGAAGTGACATTTACTGATCAGTTACACACTATTAAGAAAGCCAGCAAAAGGCGAGGGGGGGGGGGGGCGTGAGAAGACTGCTAGCTGGTGTAAACATGCTTTTTTTTTTTCTTCTTCTTTTTAAAAATGGCTTTGTGAATATTTTATGAGGAATGAAATGCATTCAACACATTTTTCAGGCCTCAAGGATACACTGTATTTTGGTAAGAAAACATAAACATAAAACAACATAAACAAATGTTAACATGGAAACGCCACTTTACGTAATGTACGGTACGTGGCCCCTTTTTGCTGTCAGCACTAAAATCAAAACTCAGTCTAATCATCAGGACACTGGGGCGCCAGGACAAATGCCTGAAAATCACCTGTCCCAGTTTAATCAGGATGTTTCTTCACCCGCGCGGTGATCACCAATCAGGTGATTACACCGGCACCTGCGGCTCGGCCTATAAATAAAGTCCCCTTTCTTTCTATCACTCTCTCCTTTCCTTTATTTCCTCCTACGACTGTTTTATTTTCTGCTAATTTCCTGCACCACGCACCGCGCCGCCTACTCGCACACACCACTGACAATGCATGCAGCACCCTCTACACTCACTGATAAACACCCCCATCCCGTTTGTGTTTACACTTGTATATTTGATTCATTAAATGAACCGTTTAACTTGTGCTGTTGCGAGGTTTCCCTTCCCTGCTACGCCTTTACCTGACAGTCAGAACAGGTCGTAGGGTTTTTTTTAAATCGTGACCGAGGGACGGCTGTTTCTATTCCCAGTGATACACCATTGCCCCCCCCCCCCTTTTTTTTTTTCTCTGTGTAATGAAGAGTCTTCCCTCCTACATATTTGGTGAAAGCAGTCATTTTCCATGATGCATCCCTCCCACTCTCTCTTTCTCTCAGTGTAACTCTCGCTCATGCACACGCACGCACACACACACACACACAAACACACAAAAACAAACCACACTGGTCCCCCCCACATCCATCTCTCCATCTTGCTCCTGAGAAATGGACTGGGTCAGCTTTTCTCAGCCCCCCCCCCACGCCATGTCACTGTGGTGGCTGCCCTCCTTCTTGTGAGCCTGCAGTGATCTGCTGGATATTCCCTTAATCTATGGCTCTTACATAATCTGTAGCAACATCGTTCACAGAGCCACTGGCTGTCTCCTCCTGTCACTCTCTGTGGTTATCACACAGTTACAGGGCAGAATAGAAGGCTAGGAGAGAGGGATGGATAGATATACTGTAGATGGGTGGATGGATAAGAAATTGTATAGAGCAAAGAGTGAATTGTATGGATGTGAGGGCCATAATTTGCTGCAGATTACGCGCGTGCCTGTATGGGAGTGTGTGCTGCAGATTACGTGCAGGATGTGTGCGCTCGTGTGGGGATGTGAGGGCAAGCGTGGATAAAGCGAGAGATTGTGGTGTTTGCGGTGTGTATATATGTGGTCAGCACATTCAAGCAAAAAAACAAAAAAGAGAGGGAGAGAGGCAAAGGAGGGATGGCCAAGAGTGCACAAGTGAGAGAGGAGCGTGTGTGTTTGTGTGTGTGAAGAGAGAATAGAGGGGTTCACATGAAGAGGACAGCACGGGTGTCCGGAGAGAAGAAGCGTAAAAAGAGGGATAATGTTAAATGTTGGTGCGTTTTTTGTGTGTGTGCACGAGGGGGGAAGAAAGAAAGGAAGGAGGGATGGAGGCATGTTACCTATGTGATGTAAGTGAGATTATGATTTTCTCTGGGATGAGGCAGAGGATAAAAGTGAGATTGTATATAACGTGCGTTGTTTACCTTGCACATGGTGCATGTGTGATTGCAAATAAGCGAATGGATGAACAGCAGGGAGAAGAGATACCGCAGAGGGAACTTGAGAGAGTAGAGACCAGAGAGTAGAGCGAAATCTCCACGAGTGATATAAAAGCAATGTAAACCTCCTGCTCTCCTGCGTAGTCAGCCGGCTGTATGACCCTCACCACTCAGACCATTGCAACCAGTCAGTCAGACTCAGAACCACACAGCAGCCTGAATGCATCAAAGCATTTGGAAAACCACAAGAGAAAAAAATCATTCAGCAAAGTGACCTACTACCAATCCCTCAGCTGAGAAATTCAACTGGCAGGATATCTGACTAGAAGCGAGATCTTTACAAAACAGTAAAACAACAACGAACCAGGGAGTGAAAGCAGTTCACGAAATCAAAGTCATCAGATGAATTTACAGTAGTTGTAACTACTGCAAGGTCAGCATTTAAACAGTGTGTCTAAAATATAAAACCACAAGAGATAAATATATAAAAGGCTCAATAACCCTGCATGATGATTTTTAAACACAACAACATGTCAACATTCAACTGTCTTTACTTTAACAGCATACACACTAAAATGAACAGTTATGGAGTTTGTATAGTCCCGTACCAGTATAAACCTGCACACGAGATATTTCATTTCTTCATCCGCTATTATACTTTATATGCTTTTGTGACACAGATGTGTTTATGTGCCATGCCAATAAAACCAATTGAAATTGAAGTAGAATAGAACATTGAAATTGAAATGGTTCTCTAAAGGCAAAAAGAGAGAGACAGAGGGAGAGAGGCAAGCTTAGCAAGAGTGAGCAGATCAAACCACAAAGATGAAAGGCATGATCAGTGTGAGAGATGATTTAATGATGTATATACAGATGACAGTGACAGAAAGTTAATATATATATGCATCCAGAAGAGTACCGAACCTCGGTATCGCAGGCTATACTGGACGTTTTTGGTTAACTTTTGCATTCTTCTCTCAGCCACAACTCACTCAAACCTAAATTAATAATAAGTCATGCACACACTGCTGGAATCTCTTTACACAACCAGTAACTCATGGTGCAGCTTAATAAAAAAATCTAAACAAATACAGTTTGGCTTCACTTCAGCCAGATGTGACTGATCCAAATCATTTTTATGCATAAAGCTTGTGCTGATACTAAACCGCCACTTTCTGCAGATGCCTCCATGCATTTTAATGCACAGAAAGTGGCACGTTATTGCTGTGAGACCAGACCAGAAAAAAGTAGAGTTTGCCTTGATATGCCTTATTGACATTTTATGCCGGTAAGTTGTTTTGAAAACATTGCGGAGACCAAATGCATTTTATTACACGTTTGACAAAGTGACAGAGAACAGCTCAGAGAACTTTGAGTGTTTGGAGTTAAAATCGCCGTGTAGAGTTACGCCGTTCAGCAGCTCGGTTTAATTCAAAGAGAAAAAAAAAAAAAAAAAAAAAATTCAGAAGCACATCCAGCGGAGTGATTTGATGAAGAAATGTAGAGCTGTGTAATTAGGCCACGTGAGGCCTTTTTGCCTTTCCTGTGAGTGCAGCGTCTGCTCTGATCACATTATTTATCACAGAGGCTAAGTGCAGTCGATAAGGTCTGCATCTGTACACAACGCCAGTAATCCTACCGCGGCCTGTGACGTATAAGACGAGGTAGTAGTGATTGTGTGTTTGTTGTTATGAGGTTAATGCATTGTAATGACAGATTTTTATAAACCCTTCTAAACAATATTAATAATTGCAGAACTATAAATAGGATGTTGGCTGGTATTTGCTTGGTTCTCTATATAGATAGAGTTTGGGGATCTGAATTAGTAGCAGGAGAGAAAACAGTTTTTTTTTTTTTCATTTTACCTGCTATCCTCTTTGACTGTTCCAGAAATGATATGGAGCATGGGCATTAGTAACCACTGTATTTTGTTGAGAGCAAAATTTACTTAAAAAGGTCAAAGGTCAAAGACCAAAGTGAAGAAACTGAGTTTGCAACAAAATTACAACAGAAAGTTGAAACATATGAAGCTTCTTAAACACGCAGGTTTTAAATCTCGAGTTGGAACGCATTTCCTGATGCAAGACAGCACAACAAGTGTGAAAGAGTGGTTCCGGACTTACTGAGGAGACCTCTCCATCATTCCCTGTGGCCGCAACCGGCGCTACAGCCGCTGCAGCCGCTGCCTCCTGAGCCGCCGCCTTCATAGCCGCCGCCTTCCGCATCTCCCGGTTGGCTTGCAGGGTGGAGAAGTAGTTGACAGCCGCGAACTCAATCAGGGCGGAGAAGACGAAGGCAAAGCAAACGGCAATGAACCAGTCCATGGCTGTCGCGTAGGAAACTTTGGGGAGGGAGTGGCGGGCGCTGATGCTGAGTGTGGTCATGGTCAACACAGTGGTGATACCTGCATACAGGGAGGAGACAGGAGTTAGGAAGATGCTGTTCGTGAGTTCACGTTTCATGCTGCGGTAGTATGTTAGTTGAAACTTGCTTTTTTTCCGTTGCATTATAACATTTTGTGAGATACTTATTTGCTTTATTGTGGAGAGTTATATGATAAAATCAATACCACTCTCATGTCTGTGCATTAAATATAGATGTATAACCAGGAGGTGCATAAAAACTGAAAGCATAGGGAAACCGCTAGCCCGCCATCTCTACATCTCTACTAATGTAACTCCTCATGAAAACCTCAACTTGTCATTTTAACAATATCAAAGTCCTCTGAACATGAGCTTTGATGTTTCAGGATATAATTATCATTATGAACTAGTAAATCCTGCCCCACTCCTGCACTGAATAGATAGATACACAGCATACATGGATGGACAGTGGTTGTTTATATTGCGCTTAAGACTTTTGCCGTCAGTATGTTTCAGTGTGTGTGTGTGTGTGTGTGTGAGTATGTGTGGGTGTGTGTGTGTGTGTGTGTGTAGGTTTTTATTTTTGTATTTCTCTCATTTCGGAGAAACCATAATACGACTCAAGGCCTAGGAAATATTTGTTGGTGAACGCAACATTGCAGAGGCTTGATTATGAGAGGCCACTGCAATCAGCTTGATTTGGACACACATATACTCCAAATGCACAAACACACACCGACAAACACACACACACACACACACATTAGCAAAACTTTCACAGCTAAATAGCCCCCCATTCAGCCTCTCAGTCGATCATATCTATCAGGTCTTCTCGGCAAAGCCAATTTATCATTTAAGTGGCAAACAAAACTGCAGCATCTCTCTGGAATTTGCCATTTCAAGTCTCTTAGCAAAATGTTACCATCTGGCAAATAACGTCAGCGATCACTTCAGCATTGCAGAGGGGATGGCAATTGAAGCACTAATGTTTCCAGTACTTATTAAACCACAGTGCTGCAGGGATGATACAAAGCTAGGTCCTAGCTAGGTCTTAGCATGTACCATAATCAGTCATTGACACAGATGTTGGAGTTATCAACTCTACAGTGTTTATGTCCCCATATATCAGTGTATTCCTATCATCAGTTTACTGAAAAGACACATTTTGAAACTAAAATTATACTTTAAGGGTAGATGCCATTTAGAACGGAGGTAATAGGGAAAAGTGGAAAAATGAACTTTTACAATATTACACATAAGGTGCTTATTTATAGTATAACATTGTGAGTTTTATGTAACAAAAGAATGAAAGGATGCCAATGTATCACAGTGTATACACAACAGATTTTCCCAATGTTGGGACACACATGGCAGCAGCTCTGTTTCATGGCATATAACTAGAATGTCAGGCCATGTGCCATTTCAGCTCAGCGAGGTTTGCCAAAAAGTCACTTCAGGGGATGCTAATCTGTCCGTAAGCAGACTAACCCGTGCCCCCGCACTGGCACACAAATAAAAGAGACCAAATATCTGCAAACATTCTCCAGAAAAGCCATCCAGTAAGATGACCAGACAAAAGCCACAAAGCATTTGTTAACATTTGTTTATCTGTTAAGTATGTCACAATATGGGCTCCGGCTGAGATGACAGAAGGCTGAAAAGGATGAAGAGAATGGATGTGGGGAGAGATGAAGATGATAGATAATGGAAAGAAACATATGTCGATGTATCAATGGATAGATGGGATAATAAAAAATATGATATCTTTGTCAGCTCAAGTGAGACTACACTATTCTTTTTTTTCTTTTTTTTTTTTTTTACCAGGAACTCCTTTAACCTTCTGGCCATGGCTGCAAATTGAAGCAGAGACTGCCAGGATCCCTTTGAGCACAGCCTCAAAGTAGAAAACTAGGGGAAAACACAGAGTAGATCTGAGGCCATTCATAACTTCTCTTGGATACATGACAGTTTGAAATTAGTTTGGACCACACAAAGGGCCATGGCAGGTGCATTTTAGAGACTCCTTTGAAGTGTCAAACTATCAAATACATCCTCCCCAAAAAATAAATATAAAGTTAAAAAAAAAATCTCGGAATCACTGGAGAAGGATTTTCCTCCGCCTTGCCCAAATTCCATCCTTATTAAGTCAGATGAAGATGCTGACAATGAACATCTCCTTAAAAGGCCCATTAACAAAGTACATATTTAATTCACTTTCATCAAGCTAAAGCAAGCAGGGAAAAGGGGGCCATTGAACACTGCTGTCCATGCTTTTACCAAATGTGCGCTGTAGTTGTGCACATTTCATTAGCAGTCTGGGATCTCATGGGGGATTTAATGCACCTAATAATGTCTCAAAAGCATGTTCGACACAACCACTTCAGCGGTGAAAGATAACAACTCTCAAATACAACCTCCTCCGATAAGCCAACCAATGCCGACTGTCTCAAGCTCGAGCACAAGTTAAATGATTGCAAAAGGGGAGGAGGGACACGGGATGAAAGCCTGTCAGGGTAGGAGGGAGAGGCACGAGAAAGAGAAAGAAAGAAAGAACGAGTGTAGGAGGGAGGGGGATGAAGTATAAAGACAGGATAGAAATTAAATGCTCGGGGCATTTATGTGCTTTTATAGGAAAAAAGCAAGGTACAAATTAGGCCACACTCAATTAAGTCTGTGAGACTTGTGCTCAAGGGACTTTCAGCTCTTAGAGAGGTTGTTGACAATCCAGCGCGCCACATACAATGGCTTAATATACTGTCAGGGTGGAGCACATCCATATAGCAATTTTCTCCTTCTCTTCTCTTCTCTTCTCTGCAACTACATACTTATATGTAGTGCTTTAAGAGCTCATAAGCAAGACACTTTTTAGAAACCAACTATATCACTATTTGAATATGAAGCCTGGTCTTTTGTAATAAAAAAAAAATCAGTACGTGGTATTCAATTTTTTCTACATAACCTCTTCTAAAATACCCAGCGTGCCCTGCGATCATCCGGAGCAACTATTCAACTACAGTCCATCCAGAGAATTGTGTTTTATTGTGTGAAATGAAAAACAGCACGACGAGCAAGGTTAATGAGTTGCCACAGATGTGCTTTCCACACGGGGCCTCAAGTTCCATGCTAACGCTAATGATTGGGATCTATTCTTCTCAAGAAGTGCGCGAGCTCGTCGGACCGCTGGCTCGCTTCCAAAGACGAGTGCAGACCACAGAGCCATAATCTACAAGGGCCAGCAGTGTCACCGCGATCAGCTGCGGCTTGTTGAAATGTAACGCAAGGGGGAATCGAAATTAACACACAATTTCCCCATTTTTTTCCTTCCTCTTCGTTTTGTCTCAATCTATTTTGTCTCTCTCATTTCTCTTTCTCTCTCTCTCTCTCTGTCCTTGTTCAGTGTCTCTCACCCTCTCTGCTCCTGAGGCTAGAGCTTGGTGGCAACTGTAGCGTGATGTAATGTGAGCAAGCGGAACCTGTGACTGCTCGGAAGAGGGCCAAGTAAACATCCTCCCCCTCTCGGCCCTTGCATGACCAATTTCAAAAAGGACATTTATTCCCAATTAATTGTGATCCACCACAGTGGAGGTGGAATAGAGATAATGGAGAAGGGTTAAATCATACTGTGATGACTGTGTCTGTCTTTGTTTTCTCGCAGAAGGCTGTTTTTTTTTTTTTAAGGAGCACTCGGTGCAGCTGAAACCAATCAGAGTGCAGTAAATGAAGAAAAGTATGCTTATACTTTGAGTTTGCAGAACCAGAGTCACGCTGGGGTTGAGGAGTGGGTGGTGAGTCAATAAATGAAGAAAATTTTCATTTGGGTTTTTCATACTTGAAGAAAACAAAGTTGAGTTTTGCGAGCGGAAAACTTAATGAGAATGAATGAAACATTTGGTATAAAGTCTTGCAACATGTAAAACTAGAGTCATCAGAAAGTGTAAGACACTACACACATACATACACTGTTTTCTTCTGTTCAGTGAATTGACCTGATTTATACCCCCCCCCCACACACACACACACACATTATACTTCTCTTTTAACTGATTGCAATCACGCACAATGGCAACTGAGAAAAACTGCTTTTTCTACAAAAAATAAAAGAGTCTTAATTAACTGCAAGACCCTTTTTGTTACAAATTTTGGCAGGCAGCTGAAACGAGGATGGTCTTGAATTTTCTAAACGGTTCCACTCAAACAGTAATGTAATGTGCAGCATGAAATAGGCTTCAAACTTGAATGGATTTAAAGAAATCTTACCAAACACAGTCCGAGCTGGAACTGATTCCTTATTAATCCAGAAAGAAACCTGGGCCAGGATGACAGTCATAATACAGGGAATGTAGGTCTGAATCAGGAAGAAGCCCATTTTCCTTTGTAGGTGGAAGTGGACGGTCATGATCACGTATTCACCTGAGACGGGAAAGACATTTGTGTTGTCCATTGGTTGCAAAGCAAATTCATTGGCAAATGTAAAATACCCATTTTGTGCAAAAATGGTGATAATGATGATGACTGTTTTGTCTGTTCTGTCTTAAAATTACTATAACTGTAATAACTGTAATAGCATAATACTTAAATGTTTTGCTGTCTTGCCAGTGATTTTAAAAAACTTTCTAAAGATGCACATAACCTCAGAGAAACATGCTGTGTGGCTCACATTCAATAAAAACATGTCACACATTATCACACATACAATTAATAGGATACTGTATATGAAGCATGATCAGAACTGCAGATCAGGCTCAAGCATGTAGCTCCACACTGTGAAAGCCTAACCTGCCGGTGTTATGATCTCAGCACTTAGGCTACCGCGCATTGGACTGTGTCCAGCACAGCTCCGAGCACATGTCTCAGAGTCTTTGCTCACCTGTATTGGACTTTAGCCTCTCGCTCGACACCGTCTGACCGATGAGGTCGTACTGCAGCAAACTGGACGATTCCTGCGGCACCTCGACGGAAGAAAGAGGACCTTTCTTCCATGTGTACACAATCTCACTGATGGGATAAGCATCTAGACAGGATGGATGGAGAACTTTGTTACAACCTGGACATCAATCGGATTCATTAAAGTGTCCTTTTTTTCTTTCTTCCTTTTTAAAATAATTTAGGGCGTATAAAATGTGAAGAAGCTCTGACAATTTGAGAGAATAACAGACAAAAGGACAAACACTTTTACTGCTTCTTGCACTTTATGGTCTGCACTCTCACAAATAAAAACAACAAACTGAAACATCATCCTTGACTTGATTCCTTATATTTTTTGAGAGTGCTGCCATTATTCAAGAGGACAGGAACAAATCACTTCTGTTATTGCTGGTACAATATGATGAGAGTTACAAACAACCTTTAGGTTTGATTTGTTTTTTTTTTATCATTTCATAAACACTGTCATTGACCTGGTCCTCCATACACTTTACACACACTGGATGAGGAACTCTTGCCATAGAATTTTTGGTAACACATTATAATACTGCCCGCCTCTAACTGTGTAATTAAAGAGGAAATAGGGAGAACCACCACACATTATATTACAGCCTAGAGAGTGTATTCTAAAAGCATTAAAGTAATAATTACTTGGTTCCTCCTTGAACATTAAAGATTAGCTATGTTTGATCCACTTTCATCTATATGTTTTATTATGAAACTACTTTGTCATAGCTTTCCCTCCTCGTGTGACAGTGGAAACCTTCCATAATGACGCACTTGAGAGAGGTATGTTTAGACAAACATATGCGCTAGGGTCCAATTTTCAAATATACTGATCTATTTCTCGACTTGTACTTATTCCAAATCATACAATGAAGTCAAAGGCATGATAATAAATCCCTACAGCGAGCGTGTAATTACCCTCCCCTCTTGTACACCGCATTCTCTCCTACGCACTGCAATAACATGTGTTAATGAGCAAAACTACAACATGCGTTTTACATAACACAGTAATGATAAGGTATGTGGGCTGTAATATAAAGTGTGACTGTTATCCACCTTTTTACTCTTTAATTACACGGTATAAGGAAGGGATTTTTAACACCTTATTTCCCAAATTTCAGTTTTGCTTCCCAGTGTAGGAGCCCAGGTTGTAGTGAAATACTTCAGACTTGAATTTATTTCTCCTCTCCACTGACATGCCCATTTGTTACTCCCATGATCCCCATGGTCTCGTTTTCTTCTTCCTGAACCTCTAAGTACCAGCAGGAAGTGGCAACGATTTTATTTGTACCAGATTCATACCACCAAATGACACTGTAAATTGTGGCTCGTATTACGTACTGACAGTTCCCCCTAACGCACTGTATGTGACACTTCAAATTGAAATCTTTGAATACATCCTGTCAGGCAGTCAATTACTCAGTGACAGAGCGATCATCGGAGAGTGACACCATCTGTCAGAGCAGCGAGGCTTAACAAAAAAACAAAAAACTCACAACTCCCAAACTTGAGCGGGCAGGCATGGCCGTCCATCGGGAAGTTCATCAGGCGCATGGGGCACTCCGCATTTATAGTTAATCTGTCAGAATAGAGACGAGTTTAAAGACGTGTTTTGATTTATATTTGATAAACTGTTACTGGCTGAGAAAATGACTGTTGCTGTTTTGAGCTGGCACAAGTCAGTGTGGCGCCATGCTGCACAATGGCTGACACACTAACAAACACAAAAGACGTATTTGATGTAAGGTGGAGAGGTGAACTCTGCAGAGATTGAAATGTAATTGTCTTTCTTGTAATATTTTGGCACTATATCGTACCGTGTTGGAGAGAAAGACTGTAACTGTACCTCTCGTAAAGGTAACTAAATACAGAACTGAAGATGGATTAGATAAAGCTTGAACTTAATCAAATATTTTAAAGTAAAGTTGATCCACTTAGATAATCTGATTTTTTTTTTTTTTAAATCTGTTTTTGTGCCATCAGTAACTCTAGGGGCATTTTTTTTTTCATCCTAAATATGTCCTTTTGGAACAAAGCTGGAGTCATGTTTGTTTGAATTGCTTTCCAGGCCTGTTTTCAGATATCAGATGGCACATGTCTTGTTTTTTGGAACGGTACTCCTCATTTCTTTTCATGTCTGTGCATATTCTTGGACGCTTGTTTGTTTGATTTGCTTTCCAGGTCTGTGCTCTATTCCGGTCTTGGCTGGGTTTGGAGCTCACTGTCCAGCACTGTTACCTCATGGTGTAGAGGATAGTTCCGTTCTGCATGATGCGGAACAGCTTGTTGGGGGTGGTCATGTTGTGAGAGATCGACCTCTTGCCATTCCGGAAAAAGGTGTCCGGAGTCCAGATCTTGCTGACCATCAGGTTGTTGAGCCGCAGGATCTCGATGGGGCCCTCGAATTTCAAGCGTTCGTCAATCCATGTCTGACGAAAGAACACGTCCATGGTGTATTCCTGGACGGGGGAGGGTGGGGGGGTGTTAGAGCATGGGTTAAGGGTTTATTTACTACTCTTACAACCACTCCTACTTCTGGTGCTGCTTCTGCTCCTGCCGCTACTATCTCCACTACCCCCAGAGAGAATGGCAGATGGGTTTGTGAGCCATGGTTACATTGGAACCTGCAGGATAGAGCACTGGCAATCTTATGAGTTATTTTGTTTTTCCATTTCTGGACTATTCTATTTTTGCTGCCAGTACTGATGACATTTAAAAGTTAGGCTTGTGCTTATTTAGAAATTGTGCAATCAATTTCACCATTGTTATTTATTCTAAGGGAGTTAACATAGATTTTTTGTGGATACGTGCTATACATACGCACTCAAAATATCCTCAAGATGATGTTTCTTTAAGTTTATTCAATTCTTTTAAAAGACAATCCTTCAATGTTAAAAGGCTATTTTATGTTTTATCTTATTGTTTATGAACTAGCAGGTCTGGAGATGAAATGACTTCAATAACTGATTGATGATGAACTCATCAAATATGAATATGGATTATTTCATCTACACAGCCCGCAATAAAGTCCACAATACAAATCCATCCTGGATGCTCTTAGATGGAATCCATGGCCTTGCTGCTCCACAGAGTCATGTACATGCCTCTCTATGGAGCTGCCACCAGTATATCACATGGCAAGTTCAAGTAGGCTTTAGATGCAGTGAGAGTATCTAAAGCCTAAAGCCTAAAGAGTGTAGAGTACAACAGACATACAGTGCTCAGCCTATCCCATGACAGGAGTAGCCAGCCTATCCCGTCCCAACATCAGCCAGATCTCTCTCTCTCTCTCTCTCTATCTCCCTCTCTGACGAGGGGGGGAGATTGTCAACCAGATTAAAATCCTAAGCTGCACTAATGACATCCTGCCCAAATGCTGGAATAATGAAGGCTGGTTGAACCACGACTTGAAGCTCTATGCACAGAGTTACAGTGGGGGGAAACTGTACATATCCTCCCTCGTGTTCATAAAATGACACTGACTTTGTTGACAAGTGATGAAACGAATGCTTGCATATGGACATCTGTTCAGTAGTGTGTGTCTATCCTGGATCAGTGTTTCAGCGGTCAGCACGGTTTACATACCATCTCAACATCTGACACAGGTCCAAAGCTGGTGACAAAGATGTCAGTTTTAACCTCTGTAACGGGACCTACAGCAGAAGGATAAGTAGTTGCTTTGATGCACACACAAACAACAACTTTGGATTGTTTTTCACAATGTAAAGCAATTAAAAGTGAAGCTGTAATTACTGCAGAGCTCATACAAGGAGCAAAATGGCCACTGAAAATCACATTCCTTTAAACAACAACAACAACAACAACAGAACCATTGATGAAGTTGATTCTCAAGTTTCTACTTGTTCACTGGTAATTTTGTCATAATTGTTAGAAGGGAAGACACTAATACTTAACCATTACAGTACAAAAACACTAATTGAAAATGAGCCACACACAACTGCAGGAGTAAAACTTTATCTTCTGACAAAAGGGAAAATCCATCCAATCATTTATGAGGCAATATCATGTAAAATGTAATATGACACTGTAATGAGCATACCTCCAAATCCAGGTCGCAGCCTGTTGTCATAGCCATCCAGTAATCTATCCAATATACGCGTGATGTTATCCAAATAGATACTGGTATCACTGTGTTGATTTCCCCAAACACTGCTCGCACTGTAACTAAAGTACATATGCACTAATGAAAAAACGATTCCAACAGTTAAAAATGCAGAGTTTCTCAAACGCACATCCATCCACAGTCTTTGGTTGCCGTGCGTAAAAGTGGGAGAACATGCAGAGAAAAGAGTTGCCATACTCACCAAGACAGAAATAAGCAAGTTAAAATGAAAGCCATGCCTCGCAGACACCCCACAACTAGAAATCCCTGGTCAACTTTTAAAATCAGCATATTCCATCATTTAAAAGCATGATTAGGCGCGAGTCGGGTCTTCTTTGAGTTGTGAACCGTGCGAGGATATCGCGCCAGTCCAGCACGACTTGACTTCCCCCTCTAGTGCGGTTGCGCCCGCCTCAGCCTGAATCGCTCAGTTGGAAAAACCTGAAGAGTTTTTAAGAGAGTGAAGAGGAGGGACGAGGAGGGGGTGGTGGTGGTGGTTTGGGGGGTGGGGGGGATTAACATTAACCGAACAAGGCATTTAGCAAGAAATGCACTGGTCTCAAGTGCAACTTAGACATTTAGAAAATGTTTGTGGCTGATGCAAATGGTGATGGCGGTTGCTGTGCCTATTTGGTTCAGGAGGTTTTGAAGAGAAAAGCGATGGAGAGAAATAGAGTGAGGGAGAGGAGGGAGACATAGAAACACAGTGCCATCATATCAATGGACAGAATACCCACTGACCTTTTGAATGCAGTATCTTTTTTTTTTTCTTTTTTTTTTTACATGATCATTTTGCTACCGCCTTCTCAGCTTTTGTTAACTGCGTGTGTGTGTGTGTGTGTGTGTGTGTGTGTGTGAGAGAGAGAGAGAGAGAGAGAGAGAGATGGAGAGATAGGAGGAGATAAACTACAGGGCTTGTCCATGCAAAGACAGAAAATTGCTACTACAGATAAAACATGATGAACTGTGATTCATATTGGGGTTGGGTGGTTGAGTGGAGTGGGTGGTAGATACATTTAGTGCAACTTCAAACTCACAATACACAGTAGTATCCATAGACCAAGAGCGAGGGGGGAAAATACCACACTGTCAAAGTCAGCTATTCCTACTGGGCTGACATGAGTTTATTTCTGTTGCACAAACACAATTCAAGAAATTGCATCATTTTCGGGGGGGGGGGGGCTTGGTAAATTTTGAGTTTGCAGTGGCACAGATAGCAGTGTGCACAACCATCAGCTAATGGGTTGTGGCACAGAGGCAAGAGAGAAAAGCAAATGTTAAACGTTCAGGTGGAAAGTGGAATTTGTGGAATTTGTCACATTTCAAAGTTATTGTAGTTAAATTGTTGGATGAAATACTTGCACCAGTGTTCCATTCAATACGATGACCATTTGAAGGTTGTAACCCATTGTAACTGAAAAGATAATTACTATTGAAATAACTTACCCTAACTTGACCTTTAAACTGACAAAACAAATAAATTATATATATATATAGATATATAGAAATAGATCAAATGTTTTCTGACGTTTCAACTTCAGTGAGTGTCTTCTCTACGTTATGTCTCCATCGATCAATGAAGTAGAATGCTTTATTTCAGCACAGCATTACGTTTTCATTATAAGTGGTATCATCGTCATATTATCAATAATTCATATGAGGAAGGGAAATATAGGATATTTTTCTGACAGCATTAAAATGTGGTGACTGATTACGCAACATAATCCTTCAACTCTCTCTCTCTCTCTTTGTACTCACAACACAAGTTATATAATGATCTCAAAATATGATTTAAATCATATGCAAACAATAATGGATCACGTTCAGATCAAGTGCATTCCAGAGTCGGTCCTTTCAAAGAAGATGAGACATTACTCTAATTTATCTGATAAATGGAATGGACTCTTCCTGTCATTGAAAACCTTGCGTTAGTGGTTTAGATTTAGCTTCATAAACAATAGCAGGTTCAGTAGGTTTACATAAGGTGACTGGGATTTGGATTTCTTCGTGCTCTACACAAACAGAGAGCATATGTAGCATATGTATTCCTCTGAGACGTCAAAGTGAAACACTACAGAGCGACACTACATAGGGGAAGGTTGGTGTGGTCTGTTGTGCAGGGTACTTGTAACCTTGCTGGGTGTACTGGGGATGAGACCAAATATATTTTGATTTAATTGTTTTTTTTCTTCTGGATTCTCTCCAACCTACCATCCAAGAGTTGCAACAGTGGAAGAAATAGAAGTAGTAACAGTAGTAGGAGTACAAGTGGCAGGTGTAACAATAATTTAATAGCTGTATAGTGGGAATTGCAGGAGGAATAGTAAGTGTGTGTAGCAGTTGCAATAGTAGGAAAAGGAGAAGTGAGCAGTAGTCAAAATATAAACTGAAGTAAAATTATGTTAGAAGCAGCTGAACAGATCTTATTTCATTTGTGAATAAGTAGCTGTTTCCGCCTCTCTGTTGGCATGCCAGAATAGACAAAGTGATCTGACCCTAATGCTGTGATCAACTTGATCTGATCTACTGTGAGGTCAGCTCATCTGACCAACCACAGGCACACGCACTGACTATGAAAGGCTCCTGGCCTGATTCACTTCGCTGCCACTAGCTGAGGTCGCGGATGAGCCAGGACAAGAATGAAGTTATTGTGTTCCTCATTGGTGCGAATGTGCTTAGCTTGCCTCTTTAACTGTTAGCTTCAAGTATCATACACTGGACACACCGACGCAGACATTATTAAACTCTGCTTTTTAGGCATGTCACCCATTACAAGAGTCTATTCACACACAATTTGGCACAGTACAATACTGAATTCATACTTGATACTGTAAGATTTTTGCAGCCTTACAATGTTGTTTAGATTAGATACGACTTCTATGTATGCACTCACATGTTTGTTCTCCTATATGTGTGTCATGCCTGCCTGTTTGTCCACCTGATTTCCTTTCAGTGAAGATTTTCCTACATGTACAGGTTTTCTGGCTGGATAGAATGGTGGGCTGCGTACCTAAATACATCTACGAAATGGCTGGATGACTTACTGACTGACTGGCTGACTGACTTATAGACAGCTATTAAAATGTAATGCCTGTCTTCCTGACTGGATCACTGTCTTCTTGGACACCAAGTCTGGAGGCACACACACTCTGTCAGTCACCCAGCCAAACACTGAACATATAAGTGCTGCAGAGAGCACAGAAGCAGGTGGCTAAACTGACTAATTTGGGAGCTATGTTCGTGCGGATGATTGTATGAAACAGATATTAATCCTACAACCTGAGAGTCAATAGAGATAATAGTCAGCCTAGGTGAATCCTTTTACCAGTCTTATTGATTATCCTGCCACAGCCAACATGTTCTGACATCTCATTCCCTATCCTGTCTTACCCAGTTCATACCTCCTCTGTAATTGGCCATTTGGTTTTAAAGCCTATGTCAAGTGAACAATGCTAAATAATGGGAGGCCATTACATCTAATAGACAATATTTCCACAAAATATAATCACTGAACCATTCATTAGAATTAAGGTCTGAATTGAGATGAAAAAGGTGCGGTGATTATGATGGATTGCAATTAGGTATGCTTCATTCCATGAGAACAATACGCCGCATATGCCAGGATGGGTAGCAATTCAATTATGTCCATTTAGGAAGTACAATTACTTTGGAAAGATAAGGGAACATACTTCGAAATCCAATCTGTTTTGATGAAGAAGAAGAAGAAGAAGAAGAAGCAGAGAAAAAAAAGGATTCAGCAGGAGTTTGTTAATTAGTTCATTATTCAACAAAATAGGATTTAATTAAACATTTCATGATATGTACTCTGTATTTGATTCCCCATAACACATATCGCATTCTCAAGCAGCCGGGTGCCGAGCTAGCAGATTATTGCGAGAAACTTTCCCAAAAGTCACTGACCTTTTGAGGGAAGAGGAGCTCTCAGATGGCAGGAACAGAGTGGGGGGTTTTGTTAAGCTGTGTACTCAGTTCTAGTCATTTACATTTTGCTTTGTTAAACAGTGGACTGTCACTGACATGATGTGAGGAAAAGAAAATAGCTCTCCTGCTTAATGTGGATATTCTGAATGTTTTACTGTTCATCTTTTGTTCAGCACCACGGACAGTTCCAACACCCAACTTATTTGTATTACACTGGAGCGTTATACGCAATGACAATTCAAAGTCACTGTTAACCTACTCGCACACCGTACCTCACAGTACCTTTTTACACACTACAGCACTTCCATTGCTTGTTATTACCCAAAAAAGTGCTTTGTCTAAACTCATTTCTGGCCACACCACAGTGCTTCTATAAATACATGATATCTCCCACGTGAGATGGACCCACTGTACTTCATGAGCCTCGCCATGTGGTAGCTATGGTAACCACTTACAGTAGGAGAAACTCAGCATGTGCGGTGGAATGTGTGTCTACGGGTGTGTGTATTTCCAGACTATTAAGAACTAAATGTCTTCACAAGAATAGAAAGGTGAGAAATTTCTGGTCTTTGTTTCTAAAAGTGACTTGGAAAGAGGCACATTGTGGGTTTACATTAAAGTTAGATTTAAATTTGGGTTAAGTGTAAGTTCAAGTCAAGTAGTATGTAGTGGTCAAAAAGGTTGAAAGTTTACCTTTCTCGGGAATGAGTGGTAGGTAGTGGTAGAAAGTCCAGAGTTAGGGGTTAGAAAATAAAAGTAGGAAATAAAAATTTATTGGTTATATGTTATTTATTGGTGTTTATGTACAGCATGTGTCTGCATCAGTAACTTGATTACTGAAGACCTACATTAAGCTTAGTGATTTGGCAACTTTGGGAGTCATAAGTCCCCCCCATATCTGCACAACAACAACAATGTAGCCAAACAGCAGTTCTTTCAAATCTCTCCTCCTTAGACATGATGTGCTGCACCACCTCCAGTGGATTCGACGTAGGGAAAAAAAATTTCCACTGCAGTTTCCATGGAGACCAAGCCATATCATAGTAAGATAAAATAAATGTTGATTTTGAGAAAACAGTTGTCCTCGCTGCCTCGGTTGACCTCTCGCCTGACTGCAGCCAAAAGCTTCACAATGAACTGTGGTGAACAACTGCCAACAGCCTGCAGTACAGAGAGAGGGAATGAAGGCAGTAAAAAAAAAGAGAAAAAAAAGACAACGCAAAGTCAATTCAGTAAACTTCAGTGCCTTAAGGTTTGTATTTGCTATTGAAATGTAAATGTTATGCATATAATAATTGATCTTTTCTCCAAATTACACAAAACTGTCAACAGAAAACTTTGTTTGTCCTTAAAAAGGGCCATCACTCAGTGCAACACTGACTCCAAAATGACAGTGACCACTTCACAACAACATCCTCACTCTGAATTCTGAAACTATGCGGAA